TAACATGTGGTATCGCCCCTGATAACTAAGACATGTTTTGCCTTTAAAATGAGATGGTTGTTATCTGCTGTGCATGGTTATTTTCCTTAGCGGGTGTCATTAATCGAAAATGGCCACGGGTGGGGCAAGATGAGCCACTTTCACCTGGGGGAAGATGAGCCGGATAAGCCACTGTTGTCTCCGCTGTCGAAAACCAAACTGAGCTGCGCTTGTTTCTGCTGTATAAAAATGGTAGGAAATTGTTTTTCTTTGTTGAGTACACAAGTTGTAAGTGATTTGCAGATTATCTGAAAGATTAAAAATGATTTCTTCCGTGATAGAAAACTTGACGAGTTATTGGAAGGCTTAAACAGTGACTTTTTGATGGAGGAAAAAACTGCCATAAGTATGTATGCCATGGAGTGAATAAAAGAGCCCACTCTTCGCCGCGCCCGGGAAAAGAAGAGGCTCGCTTTTTCTATCCATGCTCAACTTTCCCCACGACGTGTCTCAACTTACCCCGCCCATGGGGTAAGATGAGCAACGTGCAAGATGATTTTTGACGTAGCCTTTCAGTACAAAAATAAGCGGTATGAAACATTTCTGGCCACCATTACATGCGCAAATGACCACTCTGTCCGTTCAACCCGTAAACGCAGAAAAATGATCAGTAATTTAGCTTGTAGCTTACGAAAAACAAAAAGCGGCTCAACTTACCTCATTCTGCCCTACGTAACACAATTGAGGGCATTTTTTAGGCCATCACAGTATTTGTCAACAATTGTTGTTTGGGGGACTGAAGAGGGTGGTTACTGGCTCATAAACTGTCCCCCCCCCAAAAAAAAGAAAAGAAAGAAAACGAAACCGATCATCCGCGAAAGGAACTATTGAGCTCGAACCAAGGTGACGAATCGATTGATAGGTATGCAGGATGACTAACGATGTCACTTTTTTGACTTCTTGTGTCAAATAAATTCCATCATCTTGATAGCACGTCAACATTCTATTTGACATTTTACAACAAAAGTATAACTATTTGGCGCGACTGGCCTCATAAATGTTCTGAAACTAAAACCGTTTCTTCGCAATTAACTTGGATCACGTCATCCCAGCTTATGCACGACAAAAATAAAATAATGCTTCAGGATCACTGGCCTGAATTCCAATGCTTAAAGTTTACTCAAAACCGGTGTGGCTGAGGCACTCTTCGCTACATCTCGTGACGGCCACCATTGTGTTGCATTTTTTCGGTAAGCTATAAGTTAATAAGGAGAGGATTGGTGAGTGGGTTGAAAACAGCCCTCACCCCTCCCCCTCCTTCTGGAAACATAAGTAACCGAAAGATCTGGCGATTGTTTATCCACCCCGTCTGCCGCCGCGCTGCGAGGCCTCGATTCGTTCGGTATGTGGCTTCCTGAGCGGTCCTCCCCGGAGGCAAGGTGAAAGGTCATGGCCTGTATCAGAAATTTATACGTTGCTGAATATGTTTTATAGTTCTTCCAAGGCCTTGGACACCGTTTTATTATATCGGATAAGCATTGCACTTTCTTATCAATCAATACATTTAAAGAAAACTTGATCATAATCTTATACTGCGGCAATTGTAGTTCTGCTTACGGCTGCCTCTTTATGATACGGGCCACCACCACCTCCACTGCGCTGGAGCTCAGGCGTTCTACCCCTCCCCGCTACGGACCGGCCCTCGGGCTAGGTGTGTTAGTACTGAGCGCAAACCTGTAGTAGTCACGTGACTTTCATTCACGTAGCGGGAACGGAAGCTATAGGCGATACCAAGGACGGGCTCTGGGGAGGCAACCGGCGCGGAAAAATAACACGATTGTAGTTTTGGAAGAATATCTGTTGCGGTAAGAGGAATTATACAAAGCATACGTCCTAGGAGCAAACATGTGTTATTCCTCCATACTTTGCGCTACATTTCCTTTCTCCAATGGCCAGCACTTAGCAAATAATAGCGCAATTCTAAATTGGTAATATATGTGTACAGTAGCAACTGCGGGTCCCTGTACATGGCGACTCTGCAGTCTATGCCCCAGCAGGTGGAGACCCTTCGAGTCACGGCCGACGCGAGAGTTTTGGAGAGTCCTAAGCATCCGCTTCACGAAGTGGCCCGCGGCCTGGTGACGCCCCCCCCCCTCCCGCTGCGGCGTCTGCGGAGGACCGGATGGATGAGGAGGGCGTCCGATACGCTGCGCGAGCTCCGCGGCAGGCACCAGTTTCGCTCCCGACCGTAATTCGAGCCTACACCTGACGGCGTCGCTGAGCTGTGGACAATTATCTCACATCACAGCCTCGGCAGGTCCTGCCGTGAGTGGCCGCCGGGCGTGGCCAACGTGGAGTTTGAGAGTCTGCTCATAGAGCTGATGGCCGAGGGCGACGCGATGCTGGCCACCGACGGATCAGTCATCCAGGAGCCCCTTCCCCGGAGCGGCTGGGGCTGCTTCATCCGCTCGGCTGAACTCACCCAAAGCGTATCGGGAGCTACGCGGCTCGTGCTCTCGAGCTTGCGGGCTGAGACGGAGGCCGTCACTGTTGAACTGAACGCCCTGAATCAGCTCCTACCCGACTGTCAGCACATCGTCGACGCCACTGACTCGCAGTCTCTCCTGCGGAAATTGGAGGGCGGCGTCTCGCCCCCTGAAAGGTGGACAGACAGGCGCGTCACCTGGCTCTACTGCCCCGGCCACGCTGGCGTGGAGGTCAACGAGAAGGCAGACCGGCTGGCGGGCAATGGCGCGCCCGCTACCAGCAGGATCGTCCTCGTCCTCTCGGCTTCCGACTTCAAGCAACTACTCAAATTCAAGATGGAAACTGACTATGCCAGGAAGCCAAATCCAGGAGAAGCGGGAGTCGGGAAGGATGGCCCGTGTCGGTCTGAGGCCGGGCTGGATCGCGAGATCGGGCCTCTGCGGCCCCCGTGGGAGGATGGCGTGCCAGCTCGCGTGCGGGACGGTGTCTCGTCGAACCCTGGCCGACGTCTGAACGTTGGGAGGAGCGGAGACGGTATGGAGGCGGATCTGAGCCTATCCTTTTTTGCTCACACACGCTAAGGATAGGCTCCCACGTTGCTATTGCTTCCGGGTTCACATAAACCGGCTTAACGTAAAACTTTGTTCCTGGCCAAAATTGCCAGGTGTAATGACCCCCGGCTCCAGACTCGCTTTAGGCTGGCGCCTGGCGGAACAAAAAAAAAAAATCTTCGGCTCCCGTTTCGTCGACCAAGCTGTCGCCGAGGAGTAAGAGTAAGTAAGTCAAGCGCTTACGGTTCAACACGGAGAAGTATTATGTCTTTTTCGGGAGACGGGTTTATTCTTGAAGAGGAAATTTTACTACGGTCAAATAAGAGTGCGGCTGAGCTTTATAGCACGATATAAAGTTTTTTTTTCCCAGTGTTTGGGACTAGCAAAGATAAGCCCTCCCACTTATTGAGGGGTATGATAGACCCCACCCCTAGGTTTTTTGCGAATAACTCGAATAAAAAGTGCCCCAGCGTGGCAAAAGTTTTAGTAGGTATTCCTATTTGTTTGATGCAGTCTTGCAATGCAATCCAGCCATCCAAGAAACTTTGCGCGAGACGTTTTCTTGGATGGTTTTCTTGGATAGCTTGATTACATCGAGGGCTTCTGTTTTAAAGAAAATTTGTAAGCTTTGCTGCACTGTTAAGGGGACCCTCCCACCTTAACATTAGATTTGAGTTGAGATAGCCATAATGGGGTCCCTGGCTCACAATTACCGGTTTCGGCACTCACAACATCGAGAAATGCCTTAAATCGGAAATATTGAATTTCAAAATTGCAGCATTTTGATTCGGAGGGGCTAATGCATAGGAATACCCCTCTGAATGTGTGACGTCAGCGCAGATATCTAACGATTTTTAAATGTTTGACTAAAACGTTTTGTAGCACGCGGTGGTATATGCTGCTTTGCGCGCAATAAGTGCCGCACTTTCAGCTGCCAAACTATTGCTTTCAAATAAAGTCGCTAGGAACAACGGAGATCCCAAAAAGTAAACAAAAGTAAAAGTCTAATATCTTGAAAACCGGTGAATATTTTTCGGTGAAATTTGGTAGATATTCGTTTTGGCTCTTTCTGAACCGAGCGACATCATTTTCATGCCAATTCATAAACTTTTTTGAAGGTGGGAGGGTCCCTTTAAGTAATTAGAACTGCCAGTATTTCAGTACCTAACGTGTAGTTAATGTTACTGTATTTTATTTGTGCATATTTCGGCCTTTTTTAAGCAGATAACGAGCGATATTAAGAAACATACAGGAAATAATATCTAGGACTCTACCGCGACGAAATATTTCTATCTCGAGTTTTCAAAGAATTTCATGCACTCGGCCAAGGCATCGTGCATGAAATCCTTTGAAAACTCTCGATAGAAATATTTCGTTTTCGCGGTATCGTCCAAGAAATTAAGAATGTATATTCTCGTGTTCACTTCAATTCCACACATTTCCTGAAAATGTTCCCTGACCCTCATTCTCATTGACCTGTGGCTAGTTTCTTGAGTCATTTTCATGCAAGTAGCTTTTTAGGATGGTGAGCTGTTTCCAGGCAGGTAGCTGTTTCAGGCAGGTACCCGCCGAGCTTGCCATGCTTTTACATACCCATGCTGACACTAGGAATGGTGAGCGTTCGACTAGACAGGACAAATGTTTGCGCCTCTCAGCCATGCGCACAGCGACGGGGCAGCGCTGTTTTCAGTACCGCGCTGCTACTGCTACGCAGTACGGCATTTAAACGAGCTGTGAAACGTATTTTTACTCGGCGATGACTTGTATGCGTGACTGTGTGTACTGTGTAGTCAACCAGCCGACTGACATTTCCGTGTGACGTCCGAACCGGCGCCTCTGTGAGACTCGCCACTGAGGTCCCTCTGGCCGGCAGCCCCTGGTCGTCTCAGCCAAGGCTGTAGAACGTCTCAGCCCAGACGGCCGCTACAGCTCAGACGGCGTCTGGGCCGGGCCGGTAGGTGGGCCGGCCACCCTGGGACGCACCTGGCGTGTAGGTGGTCTGCTCGGAGCTCCTGAGGCCGGTGCTCTCCGTGGCGGACAGCTGGGCGCCAGCGCTGACCGGCTGCGCCGTCACCGGCTCCACGTCGGCCCGTGACCGAGCCATCTGCGGCTCCTCCAGGTCCGCGTCATCGTCCCCCTGCCGGACAGGAGAGCCGAGGCACGGCGGCCGTCAGAGCCAGCCAGCATCTAGTTACTCCTAAAAAAGCAGGTACACTACAAGCAGAAATAACAAAAACAAAACCTAGTCTAACCTTACCTAACGTAAACTTACCTTACCTGAATCGATTGGTAGTTGGGTGGGTAAATCAATCAGTCAATCAATCAATCAATCAATCTTTATTGAACATCACAAAGTGACAATGCAATGATACGATTGACATATGTTCCATAACCAGCACAAAAACCATGATCAACAACAACCAGGGAAATGACAAACAGTATCATACAGAGGTTAGCAGCCGGATGAGGCGCCTGGTGGCCTGACATGGAGACACAGCCACAAGCGAGCTGATGGTGTCAACCAGTCCGCTCTGAGGGACAGGTGCATGGACGCGCTCTCTTTCAAATACCCCACCAGCACAATGCATGACAGACCAGTGTCAAAATCGTTGTCGCACAACGCATTAACATAAGACAAGAATGAGCCAGCGACAGCGCTCGGATTTATGACGAGTTGTGCGGTGCCAGTGCTGCTATGTACGCTTGGCGTAGCCGATGGGACGAGCGAAAGGCCGCGCCGAAACACCGTTAAGTTGAGCCTCGGAGCATCTCGTGAATGGGAGGAACTTTCAACGCAATTAGCAGCGCTGTATGATGTGTGACGTTTTGGGAAGTCCCACAGCAGCTTTGATGCTAGCTGCCTAGAACGAGTCAAGGCGCTCTACCTCAGAAGACGTAAGAGGTGACACTTCACCCCCGAAGGTCAATGTCGGTATTACGATAGTTTTTCCATAGGTAAATCTTATCCCGCGGCGAGAGGCGGTTTGTAAGCATTCCTACTAGCGTAAGACCGAAGAATGCGACTCGTGCCCGCCAGTGTCCCAAAATTATATTTTTGCTTGGGTGTCAGAGGGGAAAATTGCTGACCAAAAAAGGATGAGAGTGAAAAATTGTCGGTCAGGTAAGGCCCAAAAAAGAGTGGGAAAATGATCAAAAACATTAATCTATCTACAATTGTGACAGATGCAAAGCAACCACATAGGCGGCGGAACGGGGGGGGGGCACCGGGGCACCGTGCCCCCCTTGAATTCTGCAAGGGGGGCACCAATAGCAAGGTGCCCCCCTTAAATTTGATGTATTAGTACCAGGGGCGGATTCGGGAAAACTCCAAGGGGAGGGTCATGAATCGAAGTGGTGCCCCTACCTATACCCAAAATTAAAACCTCAACGGATTTCGGCCACTTAATTTTGGTGGTGCCCTATTTTCAGTTTTTTATTTTCTTTATTTTTGGTTAGTCGTGTGGTGACTGGTGCCCCTGCTAGGCCGCTGGTGCCCCTGGAAAGACTGTGGTACCTACATACCCTGTCCCCTGACAAGCCTACGGTGGGCCCTGCACATGACTTAGGTGCCCATGGGCCCTGACAGGCCCGTGGTGCCCCTGACAGGCCTGTGGTGTCCTTGCTAGGCCTGTGGTGTCCCTAGGCCTTGGCAGGTCTGTGGTGCCCCTGGCAAGCCTGTGGTGCCCCTGTTAGATCGCAGGTGCCCTTGACAGGCTTGTGGTGCCCCTAACAATCCCAAAGTGCCAACGACAGGCTTGTGGTGCCCTTGACAGGCCCATGGTGCCCTTGCGAGGCCGGTGGTTCCCCTGCGAAGCCGATAGTGCCCCTGACAGGCCTCTGGTGCCCCTGGCAGGTCTGTAGTGCCCCGGGAAGACATGTAGTGCTTTTGCTAGGCCGATGGTGCTCCTGACAGGCCTTTGGTGCCCAGCGGCGTATTTAGAAAATCGCGAAGGGGGGGGGCAAGGGTTTGGAGGGCGCCACCTCACCCAAGGAGGGCGCCATACGGTCGCGAGATAAAAATCCTTAACGATCGCTCAGCGGAGGGGGGTGGGGTGGGAGGCCCTTTTTTACTACGCCACCAGTTCTTTTGCGTACCTTGGTATAGGTTATGCTGCATTGATTTTGCATCGTGTGTATTTTGTTTTTACTCCAGGTCACAAAAGGTCAAGTCACCCGCTCAGCTTAAGTGACTATGCTTAAAACTTTTTTAAAGTTAGGTCACTCGACATGGCCTGATGACCTTGCTTTTAGCGACTATGGTTTGCATTTTATAGAGCACGTGTAAGAGCAATGTACCAAAAGGTGCGCCCCTCCCGCTCACCCAGTTTCCTCCCCCAACAGGAAAAAAAACGGAAGCTCGTAGCGTAGTGGCATATGGGATTTTTTACCGCATGTCTGAAGAAATGTCGTGGCGCGGGTTAATCTCACACGTGACGAAAATGTTGGAAGTGATTGGCTATAAGTTCCTACTAAAGAAGTGTTGTTGTTGTGCGCGGCGAAGGCGCGCGAAAATTTTTGAAAACAACCTTTTCCTCCGCTTTTTAGGCAATATTTTACGTGTTCACTGTTCAAAGCTCTTCTCGCTCTTTTACCTAATTTGAAGGTGTAAAAATACCTAAGGTTTGGTGGGGCCGGTGCCACACAAACTGTATAGGAAGCTTCGCCCATGGGTGACGATGTAGAAAAGTTTATTGGCGGTGGCATACACACCAGACCACCATATCGGATTGATACCGGAGCGCGAGGTGCGGTAAACACAAGCGCACAACGAGAAGGCGGCAGCAACAGAAATATAAACCATAACAGGACTGCTCCTCATGAGATCGATTAGCCTTCTCGGGCTTCTCATCCAAATTCCCTCGACCAGCCCTCATGACCTTCTCACAGATGCATATTACAGTGTTGAATGCCTACATAACCAGCTTCAATCACCGAAACTGATGCCTGCTGTTGCGGCCGAACCTGTTGACAATATTTAATCGTGATCCATATAGAATAGATGTCATGATGCACGTAAAGTAAGATCAATCCGTTAAGACCAAAGACGTGCTTTATGCATGGTAGAGCGTAGACAGTTTTGGTATGCTTCATTCATTATGCTGAATGCACGTTCATTTGTGGCAGTTTTCACAGGCCACAAATGAACAAAGTAGATAAATCAGGAAAGACATCAATATGTGCAAGATAACTGCTAAGTTGGGAAACATGCCAAAGGAGTAGATAAATCATAGAAGGGCAGCGATCAACGGAGGTCGCCAATAGGTAGAAGGGCTGCGATCGACAGGAGGTCGCTAATAGGTAGGAGAGCCCCGATCAACATCCCGAGTTTCGACAGGAGGGCACCGATAGGTAGGAGGGTGGCAAGCAGCAGGAGGGCGCCAATGGGTAGAAGGGCGGCGATCAACAGGAGGGCGCCAATAGGTAGGAGGGCCCCGATCAACAATCAACAGGAGGGTGCCACCAGGTGAGAGGGCGGCAAGGAACAGGAGAGCACCAATAGATAGGAAGGTGGCGATCAACAAGAGGTCGCCAATGAGTGGAAGGATGACGATCAATAGGAGGGTGGCAATGGTGAGGAGGGTGCCTTTGCCCAAGAGGATGACATTGAACAGGAGGGGACCTGTGGGGAGGGCGCCAATTTAGCAGGAAAGTGCCAGTGGATAGGAGGGCGGCGATCAACAGGAGGGCGTCAGTGATTAGGAGGGCGGCGATCAACACGAGGGCGCCAATAGGTAGAAGGGCCCCGATTAACATTCAACAGGAGGGACTAGGGAACCAATAGGTAAGAGGGCGCCATGCAATGGCTAGAAGGGTGGCACTCAACAAGAGGGTGCCAAAAGGGAGGAGGGAGGCCATCAGAATTTCACGAGAGCGCAATAGGTGGGAAGGCGCCAATAATTATGAGGGTGCCGACCAGCAGAAGGGCGCCATTGTGTAAGGCAAGGTGGCGACCTACAGGAGGGCGTCTTCGGGTGAGAGGGTGCCTATTTACAGGAGAGCGCCAATAGGTAGGAGTACAACAATCAAATGAGGGCGCCAGTGGGTAGGAGGGCAGCGATCAACAGGCTTACATAGGCGACTACCGCTACGCTTAGAAAGCTACAGCCTACAAATGCGGTTGGAGGGCGCCCAAGGGAGCCCTCCAATCGTATTTGGAGGGCGTATTTGGAATGGCGCCCTCCGAGGGCGCCCTCCAACCGTCTTTTCCCTGCAAACACATTCGCGATTGCCCCCCCCCCGTCGCGATTGTTTTTCGATTCGATTCTATCACAACTGCATTTGCGATTGAGGGCGCCTTCGGCGCCCTCCAATCGCAAAGGGCACCTTCGGCGGTTATATACTTGCCTTCGGCGCACAAGGGGGGAGGACGTTGTCATGTGGCAGGGGGCCACATGGCCCAGTGGCCCCCCTGCCTACGCCCCTGGTGGTGCCACTGACAGGCCCGTGGTGCCCCTGCTAGGCCTGTGGTACCCCTGGCGGGCCTGTGGTGCCCCTGTCGGCTGTCAGGCCTGTGGTGCTCCTGGCAGACATGTGGTGACCCCAGGCCCAAAGTCATGACCCATGTGACCTCCCCCCTGGGATTCGCCACTGATTAGTACTGCGATGGCTTCTTGGTAATTTGATACATGTAGGATTAATGGAATTTATCAAACGAGAATAAGGAAGAGACAAACACATAGGTACTTGAGGATCAGCTTAAAGTTAACCACACATACGGGGGTGAACTGCCATTTTCGTTTAGTAAAAAAAATAATAAAAAAAAATCATCGTGTCAGGGCTGTGGCGGAAAATAAGTGGCCTAAATCCGATGAGAAAACAGGATTTGGGGGTACCCTAGGTTTGGCTCCTTGAGCTGGTGCCCCCCCCCCCCTGTCTCAAATCGTTCCGCCGCCTATGAACAACCATTCACGCAATTGCTCCTTCTCGGTGGAATTGGGAGTGGAAAATTGGGCTTGAAAACTGGAGGTGAGAGTGGAAAATGATTTTCATTTGGATGTCATTTCCCACCAACATCTACAAATTTTGGAACACTGGTGCCCGCTTGTTATGCTGTGTTACACGAGGCGCAGCAGATAGCTTCCAATCAAGGATGATTCTGAGGTGCTCCGATTGAGGACGCGTCTGAAGTATCTGACC